CCCATAATGGAAGCATGAATGATCATGTGAACAAATCATCGTAAATGCTTCGAGCCCACAACATCTTCTCATTTAGCTCAAGTATTTCTACACATCACAATTTAGTTCATCTCATGCGTTGATATTTAAGAACATTTTAAGGGAACCCATGACATCAAAATTTTTTACACGACACTTAGAAGAATTCTTGGAGATTCATGGTGTTAATCTTTTTACAACAAATACGGTTCACTCTAGGTGCATATCGAATTTGTTGAAGTGTGCATTTGTTGACCTTTATATCTCTTTCATAATCAATTTGAGTGAACATGATGGGAATGATAGCGAACTAGCACTACATCTTGCATGCTGGTTCAAAATGCCATATATGTGATCGAAATCACTCCAGCATCGTTTATCCATAAAACGTACTATGTCGATCCATCCAGAGTATTGAAAACACCAAAGCACCACTCATACTTTTCAACGATGAATGGCGCTCCACGGCACAAATTTCTCTGTGGAGCCATGACGCATGGCGCATGGCATGACACATACCATTTTAAATATAACGTACAATATAAAATAATTATATATATATATATATATTTTTTATTAATATTAATACAATTAAATAACTAAAAACATGGTAAAATTTAATCATAAATTTTGTCAAGCAATAAAATGACAAACATTTAATTGCTACTTAAATAACTTACATCAAATATTTGAGCAGATTTAAACATACTTAAGCATGATTTTGCCCCCAAATAGCAAAACTGACATCTTAAAATCCTACAAAAAACGTTAAAATCCTTTAAGAGTGTTTTTGATAATTTTTTTAATTGATATATATATTAATTTTGTGATTTTATATATTAATCTTAAAAAAATTAATTAATATTTAATATTTTCAATTTAAAACATGTTTACAAGCACATGCGCGCCGCCGTTTGCACCTTATCCCCATGCCCCATAAGCATAGCCAAATAGTGCGTGCTATTTTTGATGTGCTACGATCTGAAGCAAATATATGTCATAATGTGGGCCAGCGCGTGCCGTTTGTCTTGTGTCTTTTGCACTCACTGACATCTATGGTAGGACACCCTCCCATCACACCTAATGTTTGCGACATGATGAAAAATACGTCAAACATAATGCGACAGTAAGTACAATAGTCACTAAATTCAAAAGAAAGGACCCTCTCATGCATTACTTCGCTCAAAACACAACAAAGATGTCTTGCAAATTATGGATGCAGGCATCACACTAAATAATACACTCAACATAGTTCATTCTTGCAAAAACAGATTTGCATCGGTATGTTTTTAGAATGGTCCAAAATTAGTAGAAGGACATTCATGATTTCTTGATTGTTTTTGCTTAAAAGCGAACATAACATTTTACCCTCATGGCATTGCGACGGCAATGAATTTCAATTGGCATGCAAAAAATTAGAATTGTGCACAAATATAAACAACATTCCTTTTAATGTAAATTAAAATTATATATTATTATTATTATTTAAAAGTAAAAATATTAGAAATATTTAAAAATCTCCATTTCTTTGGCCAAAAAATCTCGATTATCCTAGCTTGAAACAAGTGTTGTTAGTGATGCAGTGCTTTCATTTTAGAAATCAAAACAAAAAAAAGACCCAAATTAATTCACACAACTCCAATCCTCCACCTCCCATTTATCTCTCTCTCATCTTTGCTCCCGAAGTTGCACATACTGTAACTCCTCAGCCTCCCTCTCTCGTACCCTTAGGGTAATCACCAATTCTCTCTCTCTCTTCTCTCTCTCTCTCACTCACTGGCTCCGTCTCTCTCATCTCTCTCTCTTCTCTCCTCTCTCTCTCTTCTCTCTCTCTTCTTTCATCTCTCTCTCGTTTATGCATTAGCCTTTTGCAAGGCCCACATAATCGCTCGCTTTTTCTCTTTGCTCATACCGGGCTCAACTGCATCTTCGACAATCTCATTGACGCCTTCACCTATCCTTTCGTCCTCTCCCTAGCCATTGTTGAAGGACCGCCACAACTCACTTGTTGTACCTCCACCATGCCTAACGCTTTATTTACAAATACTAGTTGTACTTCTCCAATCACTAGTTGTAGTTGTGAGTTACATTTTTCTCCTTCTTGCCGCATGATCTCGTTGTTGTTTGGAGTGAAGCCTAACCCCTCGGTCACTGAACCCACAACCATAGGTGAACTTAAACTCCAGTTCGATCACAATCCATCAACCCTATTTCGACCCACTTGCCTCCCTCTTTCTCTACTTTCACTTTGTCTCTCACTATTCTCCCATTCTATGCTTCCATGGCCCTCTCTTTTTCACTCTCATAACAAGGGAGGAAACTCTATATAACACACTCTCTTTCTTTCTCTTTCTTACCATCTCTCTCTCTCTTTCTCTCTTTGTTTTCCTTACACCATCGTTACGCTTTTTTTCTCTTTTTTTCTCTTAAGTAAAACAGATAGAATGCTAAAAAAAAAGGCAAAAAAAGGAGAAAAATATCATTATATATATATTATTATATTATGAGTATATAATTTGATATATTTATAATATATAGTATTATTATTATTAATATAAATATATTATATATACTTATATATCACTCACACTTCACAAATCATATCGCCTTGGTCATTTCCTTGTCGCTTTTGTCCTCGCCTCATGCTGAAAGGTAAAACTCGCAAACACTTTAAATTCCTAAAGCCTTATTATGATGCATTTGACAAGACGAGTCAAACTTGTGTATGTTTTTCTAAGCATGACATGTAAAATAGTAGGTGATGCTCGCGATGTAGTGAGTGGTCCCTGCACATGCTTTTGTTAGTATGGCGGGGAAAATACATATTGCGAAGATTCTTTGTGCATGTACCTCATGCACTCTTATTTTTGTCAGTGGGTTTTTGAAATTCTAGCCACGATGTCTTTGGACACCAACTACATGCACATTGTTTTTCTTGCTCAACAGGCTTAAAACTCCTCGTAATGTCCCTTACATGGGGGAGATGCCGGGATGCCACTAGAATTTGGGCTGAATGTATTTTCAAAGAACAAAATAAAGATGATTTTTTTACTTGATAACACAATCAAAATTGAAAATATAATTTTGAAATTGCAAAAATGAAATATTAAACACACAAATAAAAGAAATGCACATCAAGTCATATGAACAATAATGACCAAAATTGAACACGAACACTGAATTGAAATATAACTTACACAGGACTCATTAGTGAATGCTTTAGCTTGCCTACAAGTAGAACTAACCTCTCTGCACTGCTAGAGCCCTCTTGAATTGTTAAGAATTTTCAAGAACCCTCTCAATGGGCTAGGAGCTAGGGAGCGCCCCTACTTATAACAAGAAATTTGGTATTGTTGTGGGACCCATCATGTAAGATTACAAGCTTAACTAGATGAAATTGCCTTCTATGCCACCAGACCCGCAATACATACATAGTTACATACAAGCAGATGGAAGGTAGTGGGGTGTCCTTCTAAAATGTAAAATTGAAATTTTGCATGTGTTTCAATGATAAACATTTACACAAATAATTAAAATCCAAATCCAAATATTTTAAAATCATGCACATAACATCACAATTCACAACTTTAAATTCAAATATAACTTTCTTGAGAAGTGTGATGTATTTTGACAAGCATGCTTGTAAATTTGAGAAACATATAGCTGTTTCAAGGAGTGTACTACTCCCTTGAAGTGCATGCCACCCCTTAATAAGCATGCAGTTGGCTTGAGAAATGTGCAGGTACCCTAACAAGTGTGTCATCATTCTAAAAGCGTGCAAGTGCATTAAAAAACAGGTAAATTCTCTGTATAAATGCATCAAAAAGCATGCAAATGCACGATATAGGCAGTTAGGCACGTCGAAAGTGAGTAAATGCATAATGCAAGAAATATCATTGTTCAACTATTTTGAGAAGTGCGCAAATATGTCGTGTCGGCACATTGAAAAACACTAAAGTATATTGAAAAGTGTGCAAGTACACTACAAATGCATAAAAAACATGCAAGTGCACAGTATTGGCACATCAAAATGCGAGCAAACTTTGAAAAGTGTGTGAGTACACTGTCCTTGAAAGATATTTTCCTTGAAAGATGAGTGCATTGTCCAGATACACTGAAAAATATTTAAGTACATCATGTAAGAGCAAGAAAAATCACGCGGGCGTATTGTGAAATATGTAAATGCGCATTGTGAATGTATCAAAAGACGTGTAAGTGTATTGTGTTACTGTGTAATGGGATCACATAAAAAAATGTAAAATGCATTAAAAGGCTTGCAACCATGCATATCACTTCATCAAAATCAATTTTACTTGCATGTTCTTCGACAAATGCGCTACTATATTTGGATTCACGCTACTCTAAGAATCTTGTAATTTTTTTTAGAAAACTAGCAACTATATTTTGAAAATTCAAAAACTCCCTTTAATTTAAAATTTAAACTCTCATTTTACACATTATTCTCTAGTGGGCCACTCTGCATACATGATAGGGTCGTAAGTTCCACTCTTGAAGTCTAATCTTTCATGTCCAAAAAAAATGGAGTTGACAAGATTTTCACCTCTTAGTAAATTACCCTAATGTTAATTGAAACATAATTTTCTAACTGAGCGAGTTTGCAATCAAATATTTAATTGATATTCACAAAAATATTTTATCTCACTAGTATAACTGTAGAATAAGTCAAAGACCCAATCCTTTGCAAGCAAACTGATAAAGTTGACAAGATTTAAAGTGACAAAATGAATGTGTTCAAAGTCTTGATGATGGTTGTGTTGATAGTAAAATTCAACCGGAGGAATGCGCCCCCAAATTTCAAAGCTACTTTTTTGGGACTTAAGCTCTTAGAAAATTTAAAGAATCCAATATTTGCAAAAATCTAATATTTTCAAAAGGCTCCCTACTCATTTAATTACATCAGCTTGTCACCTGCCATATTTAGCTGGATCTTTTATAGTCTGATAGATATGCATTTTTGGTAGATACAAGTCATGAAAGAGGAACATTTAGCAGAGCTGCAGGAATTCCATCTGAAGATCTCCCAGAGATATCAGCAGGTTCTTATTTACTCATCAGTTTTTTTTCCGGTTCAGGAATTCAATAAATGTTCTACATTGGGAGACTATGTTTAGCACACTTATTGATATTTCTTTTTGCTTTTTGCCCTTGAATTAGAGTGAGATGATGCCTCAAGCAAAGCAATCTGGAAATTTTGAGAAATTGAAAAGCTTCAAAGTGTTCCTGGAACGCGTGCTAGCTTTCCTTCAGATTTCTAAGAATAGTATTACAATTGGCTTGAAAGAAAAACTTCCTACTTATGAGAAACAAATACTTGGCTTGTTAAATGCAAACAATAAGCAAAAAATAATGCCTTCACAGCTGCAAGGCCAGCAGCAGCTCCATCATCCTGGTGGACTTGCTCAAAGTACTACCCAGCATCAACCATCTCAAGTTCTACAGGTTCAACAACATGAAAATCTTGGAAATCAAGTGCACCAAATGAATATGACTGGTTCTATCACAAGTATGCAGTCGGCAGTAACCTCCAGTATGCAACATGGATCCATGACATTACCGAGTTTAGTTGCTCCATTAACCCAACAAAATGCTACAAATTCAGCCCAATCTGCCCCTGATTTGGATCCAGTCCAAGTGAACTCTTTTGGCTCACTGCAACAAGGTACGATGGGCTCACTACAACAGAGTGCTGTTGGGCCTTTGCCGAATTCAGTTAGTGCTTCCCAACAAACAAACCTTAACAATCTGTCACAAAGCTCCCTGAATTCATTGCAACCTAATGGGACCTCAGTGCAAAATTCTAATGTTCTGCAGCAGCAACATCTTAAGCAACAACAGCAGGAACATTTATTGCAAAATCAGCAACAATTAAAGCAGCAACTGCAGCAACACCAAATGCAGCAACAATTACTTCAGCAGCAACAAAGACTGCAGCAGCCGCTGCAGCAACAGGTGCATCAGCAACAAAAGCAGCAGCAACCTTCACAATTGCCTGTGCACCAGATGTCACAACTTCATCCTATTAATGAACTAAATGAACTGAAGGCCAGGCAAGGATCTAGCATTAAACCAGGAATATACCAACAGACCTTTACAGGAGTCCAGCGCCCTAACTACTATCCTCATCAACTTAAACCTGGTGCTTCCTTTCCAATTTCATCTCCCCAAAGTCTGCAGGCATCATCCCCTCAGATTTCTCACCATTCTTCACCTCAAATAGAGCATGCTTTGTTACCAACCCATGCAAAACCTGGTACACCTATGCAATCAACAGGGTCACCCTTTGTTGTGCCTTCTCCTTCTCCTTCCACTCCCATTGCCCCGTCTCCCACACCAGGTGACTCTGAGAAGCTATTATCTGCTGCCGTATCACTTCCAACTACAAGACAAACTACCAATCAGCAAGCTGCTAGCGCGCCACTTCAATCTCAGTCAATTTCAGTTGCCACGCCTGGAATATCAGCCTCCCCTTTACTAGCAGAATTTCCGAGTCAGGAAGGCAACCTCACTAATGCAACATCAAGAGTCGGTGCTTCTGAGAGACCATTGGAACGCTTAATTAAGGCGGTTAGTTCTCTTGCCTGGCTACTTGCGTGATGTATTATTATGGGATTATTGCTATAGAAATGTTGTGATGATAGAATGAATTTTATTTCTTAGATGGCAGGCACCTCTACTTTTTTCCATTGATTCATGCCATATAAAGCTTAGCTATTTTCTTTTTTTAAACCATTCCTTTTACTCTTGAAGCATGGCATGGGATTCTGCGTTCCATATAGGGTTTTGTTGGAATGACCTGGCTTACTGAAATTTGTTATGGATTAGTCTAAGTATTTCATTGGTATCTTTTGTAATTATTTGATTTTGTCACAATCAGTGATTTCAGACACAATTTGTTATCCCTTCAGTATCTCCAGTAAAGCTTCAAGTCTTAATTAGCTTTATGCATATCAATAGATAGCATTATTTAACTTATTTGGATCTACTTGAGCCTATTTCATGATTATATCCCGACCAAAACATTAAAAAAGGTAGTTTTTATGGTGATTTTATTGATTCGGGAATTCAGTCCCACTTTGCAGAGGCATCATATGCTTCTCTTGTCGGCTACTTGCGAGTTTGGTGAGGTTGAGAAAAAAATTAAGATTTTGGAGGTAGATATAAGCTTTTTGCAGTGTAGTTCTTGTGAGGTAGGGCATCTAAATTTCACAATAGCTCGCATTTTGCTGTTGTTCAGAGCAAAGGCCAACATGTACCAATCATACGAGCTTGTTTTTTATGTGGTGGGGAGTTTCCTGTTGCATTACTTCAATTATTTTGCTAATTTGTTAGGATTATATCAAAACCTATACAAACCTTTTGTGGGTGTGGTTGAAGATCTTTTGTTTGTCCTTATGATGTTATAGGTTTCCTATATATGCCTTTCTTGGCATTCTGAGAGTAAGCAAGCCTACAGGCATATGTGTCTCTGTCCATTTTCTTATATTGATCTCATTATTTTAAAAGGATTGTTAAATGAAATATTCAAATGTAAAATGCAGGGAGAAAAAAGGCAATGTAAGCATGCATTTAAGTGAGGTAAAATGATGTTCCTTTTAGTGGACTTCACCGTTAGTTTTTTTTTTTTAAATTGACCTCAATATTTAAAAATAGTTCATGGGGATTGTAAAGCAAAATATTGACATATAAAATTTCGAAGAGAAAAAAAAGGCAGTGTAAATAAATATTTAGGCGGGGAGAATGATATTCCTAGTAGTGTAGTGTGCAGGAAATTAAACATTTTTCCGTTTTGTACTCTTTGAATTTAATGCTATGGAACTGAGAAGGAGATTTAGTATTGCTCAATAATGAATTTAGTATTGCTCAATAATGAATTTCCTAATACGCTTATTATTTGCTAGCGTTAAGTTTATGATCATTTGCAATTAATTGAACAATTCAATGATATATAATGTTACAATCTCAAGTTGGAAGTCTTGGCAAATACAGTTTCAATGATGATGCTCGCCCCAATTTCTTTTACTTAAGCAACTGTAAATGACATTCTAATTATATGAATATTGAAGTATAATAAATTTGGATTATGCTCTTTTTGTTGGTTTTTGGTGTCCATTAACAATTTTTTTTCTAATGTTTTTTTTAAGGATTGGGATTTCATTGTTAGTCTTAATTGGTTACATTTACCATTATGTCAGCTTATTCTCCAGTGATTTTCTATAATTATATGAATGTTGTATTTATAACATGTCATTTTTAACTGTTTTTAGGTGCAATCAATGTCTCCAACTGCCCTTAGCTCTGCTGTTAGTGATATTAGTTCTGTTGTTAGTATGATTGACCGGATTGCTGGTTCAGCACCTGGCAATGGCTCAAGAACTGCTGTTGGTGAAGATTTGGTTGCAATGACCAAGTGTCGTCTGCAAGCAAGGAACTTTATGTCGCAAGATGGAAGCACCACCACGAAGAAAATGAAGCGGCATACAAGTGCCATGCCATTAAATAATGTTTCATCAGCAGGCAGTGTAAATGATAACTTTATGAAATTTGGTAGTCTTGATTCCCCTGAATTGGAATCCACGGCAACTTCTCATGTCAAAAGGAGGAAACTTGAGGTACTTCCACTTTGTATCTTTATAACGGCAACAATCCCATAGAAGATACTGTAGTCGTTGTGTGGTGATAGAAATTGCAGAAAACTCAGCATTTTGGCATTTAGTATAACGATCCGATGGTACTAGTTGTGGATATGCAAAGTCAACATGTGCAGAAACTAGAAACAAACAAAATCATATATCTCCATTTATAAGGTTGGGGAGCAATGATAGGGATTGAAGGTTCACGAAATTCAGATGTAATTACCTTTAGATAAATCTCCAATTTTTAACAATCTCGGCTGCATCATCATTACTATAGAAAACTCTGCTTCAAGCTTAGTTAGGCTTGATATCAATCACTTGCTCGACTTTATATCGATCATCATTAACGAATGATAATTTATCTTCATAGCCTCTAGATCATCACAGTAATATTTTTCATTGGCTAACTCAAAACATGGATTAGATTGACATAGATGTTTGAACTGTCGGTTTCAAGATAATGGTTGATAACTGAGTGATTCCTTGAAAAACATCCCAATAATTCAAGCAATATTTTTTTAAATATTCGTGATCCATATATAAGTCATATTTGTAAGAGTTTTCCTAGATGTAATTTATAACCTTGATGAAATATAGCAACAAAAGAATAGGTATTTTGAAAATCCACAAGCGAACTTTTGTGCTTTTAATATATTCTCCTTCAATAAATTGTTCATCTTGAATAAATCCTTGGTTGCGATGTCTGATTTTGCAAGTCAACCATGCTTTGCAGGAGGAGATCAGGGAGATAAACCAGCAGCTTATTGACACAGTGGTTAGTATATGCGATGAAAATTCCGATTCTGCTGCTGCTGCTGCTGCTGCATCCGAAGGTGTTGGAGAGGGGACGATCATTGAATGTTCCTTCAATGGTGTCGCTTTCAGTCCTAGTTTAAAAGCTCATTTTGCTTCAATGCATATGGTTAGATTCTAAGAAAAGTAGACATTCTTCCCATCAATCAATTTCAGTATAGTAAATATCATCTTTATTGTTTACAGTGCCCGATAGCTCCTTTGAGATTGCTGGTTCCTTCCAATTATCCAAAATGCTCTCCTCTACTTCTTGACAAACTTCCAATTGAATCTAGGTAAACTCATGCAGAACTTTTATATAGTTATCTAAGATTAATGTGCTTTGTTGTCTTATTTTCTTAATTTTGTCATTGAAAATTCTCAGCAAGGAATTTGAAGATCTATCTATCAAAGCAAAGTCAAGGTTCAGCATCTCACTTCGAGGCCTTTCACAGCCTATGTCGCTGGGAGAAATGGCCGGAACTTGGGATGCTTGTGCGCGGAAGGTGATTGTGGAATATGTTCAAAAGACTGGAGGGGGTAGCTTCAGCTCAACCTATGGTGCCTGGGTAAACTGTGTTGGTGCTTGATCTGCTTCAATAAACTGTCTTCATTTATTTATTCCCCTTGAAATACGTGCCTTTTGCAAGGAATTCCGCAGATTCTCAGCTCTATTCAGCCCATAAACAGAAGGAAAAAAAGTTTAAATTATATTTATCGTCTGTAATATCCCACCAAGTTCCTTTTGTAAAATTTGTTAGCAAAGGAGGGCACTGTGGCATTACTCTAAAAGTTTCAATTAGGATGTGACCGTTGTCCTGCCATATTGTTCATTGTATGATTTGTCGATAAGGATTTCATTAATTTAGTGATGTGTTGTTTTTATGTGAATTGTAATACTATTTGCTCGCCATCTTGTATGTTCATCTGTCTTCATCTTCTGTATATTTTTAAACTTTTATGAAGGAAAGTTATATTTTATTCAAAATTACATAAGATTTTTCGTTTAAAGAGAAGGAAGTTTCATCAGAAGTAAGAGTTTATAATTGCTTATATGAATTCAAACTATCTTAATTTACATATGAATTTGTAATATAATTTCACATGAAGCCAACCCTTGCATTGCCACATAAAGCAGCATTTCCTTGATCACCTCTGCAAGCTCCACTTTAGCTTTGTGGGTATTAAAAATCTGTGCCCAACCTATTGTTGAGAGAATCATCAAGATTTCTCTTTGTCTATAGTATAAGCGTAGGCAAATCACACTTGCTACAGTAACTGTGCTTTGATTGTGTTTTTACTGTAGATAAAAAGAAATCCGGATGATTATCTATGTCTGATATCCGCACCTAATAATATGTCCTTGTTGGGAGTCTTAAAGAATTGTTTCGGGTTAGATTTTGTTGATATATTGTGTTTCAAATGAAGGTTTTGCTTATGGATTTTGTCTTCATTTCATGAGAATTTTGTTATCTGATTTTAGGTTTTTAACAGGTGTAAATCCTAATGATTAATTATCCCTTCCAGGTTAGTGTTTAGATAGACATTGAGTATCACTTGTGATTAGAATATGCAATTGTTCATCCCTGCCAACTGCTCCAATTGAGAGTTAGTATAACTCTAAAATTGATTGCATGATCTATATTTCTTAGCTTCTCACTTGAACTGGAAATGTACTAGTTACTTTCTTTTCAGCTTATTTCTTTGTCTGAGAAGAGATGGTGATGGAGGTGCTTTCATCGATTTATCTTCTCAACTCTTAGGTTACATGTTCATCTCCTCTCAGGGTTCTCCTTACACTTACTCGCTCCTTCTTGAGCTTGTTCGATGACAAGAAGCTCACAGGATCGTTGACTCCTCCCCCTGAGGCCAATCAAGAGATGTCACGAGTCCTAATCTTAACGAGTAGCATTATTGATGTGAAACAGAATCGGAATTGCACAGAGAAATAATAAGACAACTGAGTAAGCAAGTCAATATAAAGATTAACGAGTCATAATTAATGATTTAATGAAATCTCAGTTGCAAAATTACTTAGGCAATGTTACAAACTCATTAGGCACAACAATTTAAAATAATACCAAACATGCTAGTAATGACGAATGCACTTTAACAATAATCCGTGGGTTAATATTTAGAAAAGTCACCTTGAGTTTCCCTCACTCAAGCTCTTTTGCGGTTAACAGAAGAAAGATATTAGCAATACTAATGTGATTGCCACGAGGAAGAGGGAGCTTACAATACTGTCCACGGGAAAGCTAGTCGAAGTTGGAGGAGTCGATGGAAGGTGTAAGAGTTGCCACTCGGATGGAAGGTAGTATTCGTTGATGGCGGTTGATAGAGAAAATAGTATCCGATCCACGTAATCTTCAATGGTGGCATCGATCTCTACGTTTACGTCACGAAAGACGATCTCAAAACGTCCACACGTCCTTGGGAATCAAAGATTAATCTCTGATCAATATCCGGATCGGTCATGCATAGTTGTCTAGGAGAAAATGTAGAGAGGGGGAGGAGGGGATCGTCCAAGCTAAGCGAAGGAGAAAAATAAAATCTGAAATTAATTTCAAATTTAGTGAATAATTAGAGATTAATCTCCTTTGAAATTTGAATTTGAAATTAGTGGAGATTAGGAGGAAAAGTGGGGAGGGGATTGAATTAATTAGATCATTAATTTATGAGATCTAATTAATTAGAAGGGGAGCTTAGGTGGCCGGCCAAAGAGGGGAATTGGGAGGAATTAATTAATGCTTAGGTGGCAAAGTGGAAAGAGAAAGAGATAGAGAAAGAGAGGAGCGGCTTAAGTGGGCCGGCCATTTAAAGAGGGGAGAGATGGCTTTGTTCTAATTGGGTGGGTTTGGAGGGAGTTGGATTTGAATTTGAATTCATATAAGGCTTGAGTCTTAATTGGACCTTAAATGGGAGAAACCCATTAATGGGCCGGCGGCATGGGGGGAAGAGGGGAAGGATTGGTGGGGAGTTAAAAGCTTCCAAATTTGGTTTTCTCAATAAGGAAGAGTAAAATTAAATCAAATCCAATTTAAAACTAATTGAATGAGCTTTAAAACTTTCCAAATATGACCTTGTCCAATTAGGAAAGATGTTGAAATTCAAATTTTGAATTTCAAATTGAGGAGTTATCTTCCTAAATCAATTGAGGCTATTTTGGTAGGTGGTAATGATGGCATTAATCATCATTAAATGGGGATGGCCAATGGGGAGCCGGCGGCATGGTGGTGGGAGGCTTGGGAATGCGGTTGGGGAAAAAGTGGGGCTAGGCCGGCGGTTGGGTGGGCTAGGTTGGCGGGTGGGCTTTGAGGTGGTGGAGCTAAAGGGGAAATTTGAGCGGGAGGGGATGGCCGGTGGTGGTAGGGGAAGGAGGAGTCGTCGGGTGGGATGGGAAAAAGAAGAAAAAGGAAATAAGATAGATTAACCACGAGCCGCGGACTCTTCCAACGACTGGTGGGTATTGCGCTTGCTCTCACCTCGAGCTCTCTCTCTCCCTTCTCTAGTGCTCTCACAAGAAGAAGAAAAAGAAGAAGAAAAAACACATAAAATTTTATTATCAAATCATCATCCCAATACAATAGAAATGACCCATATATATAGGCCTCACCAAAAAGAAAAGAAACAAAGATTAAAATGCCCTCGGAGCTACAACCTCAAATGGCCACCCATAAGGGTAAAACAGTCAAACTGAAAAAAAAAATAAACTATCACATAAAATGACTCAAAAATATAAGCTCTTGATCGTAGTCGTCGATCTCCAGTGTCTCCTTTGATAAGCGTGCCAAAATCTTCTGCTTATGTCCTCATCAATTGTATATGTATCTATGTATAGCTTATGTTTTGCCTTTTTATGTGTGGCATTTCTTGTAGCCTTCGTAACCCTAGAAATATGGGGTGATGAAGCTTTTCTAATACCTTTTTTAATAAATTTTTTTAACTATTAAGGGTAAAACAGTCAAACTGAAAAAAAAAATAAACTATCACATAAAATGACTCAAAAATATAAGCTCTTGATCGTAGTCGTCGATCTCCAGTGTCTCCTTTGATAAGCGTGCCAAAATCTTCTGCTTATGTCCTCATCAATTGTATATGTATCTATGTATAGCTTATGTTTTGCCTTTTTATGTGTGGCATTTCTTGTAGCCTTCGTAACCCTAGAAATATGGGGTGATGAAGAATATAAAAAGGGAACTTTTCTGATACCTTTTTAATCAATTTTTTTAACTATTAGCCTTTTTGAAGACCCTTGAACTTATTCTTGTACTTTAGAATGAGATAGTGAAGATATCGCTAGCCTATTCTTTTCTATTTTTAAGTTCCAGTCATCTTCCTTCTCCATCATCACTAACAAACAGGTTCTCAAGCTTATCATGCAAATTTGCTAGTAAAGTCATATCATCTATTGAAAAATTTTGAATTCAATAAAGAGAAAAAAAAATATGATTAAGAAACATAAAAGACAAATTTTCACTTTAATAGCAAGACATTAGAGTAAAGAGAAAAGTAAAAGGAGAAAAATAGCATAATAAATGTGAAGAGCCAAAAGAATTTACTATTCAATAGTCATCTTCAAAGACTAAATTTGAATACCACTCTCTATTCTTTATTTTTTGATTGTGTATATAAAAATATTGAAATAATAATTAAATAATAATATCAATCTAATTATTTCTAATATTTTAAAATTATTATAACAATAATAAATTTTTATCCCACTATTTGTAGTCATTTATATGAATCATTTTTTACAATTTTGTCTTCTTAAGAGCATATTTTTAAATTATTAGATTTAATTAAAATAATTTTAAGATATAAATTAATAAACTATTAAATATTATATTTATCTTAAAATAAATTTAATAATTTTAAAATTCATAATCATGCATCAAACCCGGATTAAAAGAGGAATTTTTAAATCTTTTTCTCTCACAAATAAAAGAGTTTGCTGGCAGCTCAGTGTTGAACGAGAGGTGGTCGTGGCCTTCGCCGCCGCCTCCACCCATCACCTCTCCATGCAATCCTCCTCCTCTCTCCCCTCTTGCTCCTCAATACCTGCCTACCTTCCAATACGCCTCTCCATCCCATCGCCATGGCCGCCGCCTCCGCCCTTATCAAGTTCAAATTCCCCTTCCGTTTCCTCCTTCTCCGCCGCTTCTCCGAATCACCGGCGGAGCCTGTGACAATGGAGACGTCCCTCCCCTTCTCAGCCCACAAGTGCGACCCGCCTCCACGTTCCGTCACCACATCCCCCAGCGAGCTCCTGTCATTCTTCCGGAATATGACAGTTATGCGGCGCATGGAGCTTGCAGCCGACTCCCTCTACAAGGCTAAGCTCGTCCGTGGCTTCTGCCACCTCTACGACGGCCAAGAGGCTGTCGCCGTCGGCATGGAGGCTGCCATCACTCGCCGAGACGCTATCATCACAGCCTACCGCGACCACTGCATCTATGTCGCCCGCGGTGGCAGCCCATTTGAGGTCTTTGCCGAGCTCATGGGCCGCCGTGCCGGATGCTCTAAGGGAAAGGGCGGATCCATGCACCTCTACAAGAAGGATGCCTCATTTTACGGTGGCCATGGAATTGTTGGAGCCCATGCACCCCTCGGCTGCGGAATCGCTCTAGGGCAGAAGTATTCAAAAGAAGGGACTGTAACTTTTATGATTTATGGCGATGGCGCCGCCAACCAGGGCCAGCTCTACGAGTCGCTCAACATGGCGGCGCTCTGGGATCTGCCGGTTGTTCTGGTCTGCGAGAACAATCACTGTGAGTTTCTTTTAGCGTACTAGTTAATTCTCTCAAGGGTTTTGATTTATGCGTTGCGAATGATTGGGCTTTCGATTTGGTTGCAGATGGAATGGGAACGGCGGAGTGGAGGGCGTCGAAGAACCCAGCTTATTATAAGCGTGCAGACTATGTTCCTGGTCTCAAGGTTCTTATTTTTGTTCTGTTTTGAAGTTGGCTTGAACATTTTCTTTTCTGAATATGCCCTTTCATATTTGCTGGTAGAATTTTTGTATATCCGTCTTTAGAAAATTGTGTAAATCATGCTTTAGTTGAGATTATGCACACTATTGCATGATAATGACAACCTATTAGATGAAAGGTAGTTTATTTTTATTTTGCTAAATACATGAAATATATTCAAGTACGGATAAAAAAAGATCAGGACATGAAAATGAAGATTACATGCAAAATAAACATCATTTTTTTATGCTTGCTTAATTGATGTTGATTAAGTTAAAAAAATATCGTGCAAGCGTCGCAGCGCTGGAGCACTCCAAGCTTGGTATGAGAGCAGAGAGAGGAGCGTTATGATGCTTCAAATCCCGGTGCCATGGCGCTATAGGCTGCAATGCCATGGCACTGCATGGTGGACCCAAAGATAGACCTGTCAATATTGGACCCGACCCGAAAACCCGATCCGAACCCGACCCGTAATTTTCGGGTTTGGGTTGACCCGAACCCGAAGCGGGTCGGGTTCGGGTTCGGAAAACCGACCCGTTTATAAAAACGGGTCGGGTTCGGGTTGACCCGACAAGTTGCCGGGTCAACCCGAAAACCCGTTTAACTTAAATTTTTTTGATTCCCGCCTCTTTGCCCGTTGACCCGAAACCGAGGCGGGTCGGTTTCGGGTTTCGAAAACCGACCCGTTTATAAAACCGGGTCAGGGTTGACCCGAACCCGAATAAATCCGGGTCACTTACGGGTCGGGTCGGGTTCGACCCGTAACCCGAAATTGACAGGTCTACCCAAAGATAGAGAATGGAGTGCCATAATGCTACTGGGTTGGTAGAGCAGTTTTTCTTCCCTATTTTTATTGTTTCACTTGAAAAGTTGAATCCTTTTGTGTATTAAAAGGTGACTCTTTGTTTGTTCAGAGATAAGAATGAGAAGAGAAGTGAAGAAAGATGAGAAAGGCTGAGAAGAGAGATTTGTACATTTTCTTCAAATTTTTATAGTAAATTTCTTGATGTAGTATGGCTCTAGGGTTTTTTTTTTCCTATTTTGGAGTTTTTCACATCAAATCTTGTATTCATTTTCAATATTTTCTTATCTTATTTATTTCGTTGCGTGTTTTTTCTTCCCAACATATAATAAGTTTGTTTAATTCTTCTCCTTTTCTTCTTGAACAGTGGAATATTTTAGAGTCGGTTTGATTTAATGACATCCTTAAGGAATATCCATATTGATATATCATCAAAAAATTATGTTGATGGGACACAAATCTCGAAGCAAAATCAAGTTGGAAATTTAAAAAATTAAATCGAACACCATTTGAACTCCGATTTCAGCAAACTTATAGTCGAACTAAACGTCTCGAAAATACAAATCCAACAACATCAAATTCGACTCAATCTGAACCCAAATGGGTCCAAATCGAAGACTCGAAGCATATTTGGAAGGGTCAAACCATAATTTCGATTACCACTCTCAGAAAACTATTGATAGATCCATCTTTTCTCATGGAGGAGGAAGAAGCGAAGGAAGAGAAAGAAGAGTTCTCTTGCCACCAAAGTTCTCGACCACCTCCCGCCACCGAACGACGCCAGACTTTTGTCCATCGTCGGACTTCTACCCGATGCCGGACTTCTACCGGACTCCAGCCTTCCGCCCGTCATCGGATTTCTACCCTACGCCAGACTTCCGCCCGTAGTCAAACTTTTGGAGGACTTCTACTTGACGCCGAACTTTGGCTCGTCGCCAGACTTCTGCCTGTCGTCGGACTTCCGCCCGTCGCCGTATTTCTATCCAACACTGGACTTATTCTCGTCACCGGACTTTCGTCGGACTTCTACCCAACGCCAAAGTTTCGCCCGACATTAGACTTTTGTCCGACGCCGAACTTCCACCCGATGCCAAACTTCTTCCAGTCATCAGACTTTTATTGGGCTCCTACCCGACGCCGAACTTCCACCCGTCATCGGACTTCTACCTGTCGTCGGACATTCGTCGGATTTCTACCCGACGCGGACTTCCGCCAGTCAACGGTCCTTCCGACCTCCATCGCCTGCCAACTGCGGTCCTCTTGACCTCAGTCTCCAGACAATGGTCATTTCTATCTCATTCGTCCGCCAACTACAGTCCTTCCGACCTCCGTTGCCAGATAATGTTCTTTCCGACCTCCGTTGCCCACCGACTATGGTCCTTCCGACCAAACAAATACGTCAACAGTGGTTCTTCATATTTCCACCATGTAACACACTCTATATGATGTATATTTGTTACATCATGCCAAGCCCTTCCTTCAAATGAAGGTCCTCATTTGTAATCAACTGCAATATAGTGGATTCATTCAAACTTGGCTAGGCCCCGTGATTTTTCCCTTGTCCAGGGTGTCTCTTTAAATACTGCACCCTCTCTCTCTCTTATATGATTGTGTGTTGGATCTTCATATAAGGCTAAGACATTAAACTTTATATTTCTCTACCGCCGCAAATATTCTAGGATGCAACACATGAATTTCAAGTTTGAATATGATGGAATCTATTGTTAAGAGCAACCAAGTTGATTGTCACTTTGTTTTTCAGATTTAATGAGTTGAATTATAAAACCTTTTAATATAACCTCTTTTGCTTCTTCCATTTCTCAATTTTTGCAACAGGTTGATGGAATGGATGTTCTGGCCGTAAAACAAGCTTGCAAATTTGCCAAAGAACATGTTCTACAGAATGGCCCGATTGTGAGTAACTTAGTCGCAGCATATAATTGTCATAGTTAATAACATATCTACACTTCTACAAATATGAGTTGAATTTCGATGCCACGAGCAACTTAGGTTTCATTTGGAACGGTTTTTTTACTACTTTTTAAAGCAGCTTTTTAATATAAAAATTTCTTAAACTAAAAAAAAAATTATGCTAGAAAGTTACTTCAAAAAACAGTAAGAAAGACTTTCCAAACGAAGCCTCAATTTTGGCAGTGAAGCAAGAAGCTTTTATCGTCAAAAATATATTTTGTTGTGTTACGAAGGCATATATGCATGTGACATTAATTTTTCTGTGCAAAAAATGATTATATTAACCAATATGAGAATGCAGTCTAATTTTGAAGTTGAAACTAGCAGACTCTGTTCAGACCTTGTCGCCTGTCGGCATAAAACGCTGAACTTTTTCTACAGAATTTTTCTCTGGCTGAGCATGGAGTCACTAATTTCCCTATTAATTATGATTTTCTTTTTCTTTTAGTTGTGGATTGCCGGCTGCTTTGGGCTTTTCGTTTGGGACAGCTTTTTGCTGCTTTTTAAAATGATTTTTTAGTGCAAAATTTTCTTAAATTAAAAATCTTTGTACGAAAAAGTCATTTTAGAAGGTAGTAACAAAGCTGTCCCAAAAGAATACTTAGTTGAAAGGTTTTTGCACAGTGTTTGCTTCAAGGAAAAATGTAAATTCTACTTCTTCACAGAATCTAAACATTTCTGATAGTATTTAAACTATGATTTCATTTGAGATAATTTTCTTACTGTTTTCTAAAATAGTTTTTTTTTTTCAAAAATTTATAATTAAAAAAAAATTTACTAGAAAGCAGCTTTAAAAATCAATAAAAAGCTTTCCTAAACAAAGCCCATGTCACCTAGTAATTTATTACAAATAACTAAGATTTAAAAGTTCTTTCACAGCACAATTGATATCCAAAATGCTTGGTTGAAGCTTTGATCCATCCAGTTTTCTCCATCTTTTCATCCAAATGCTAATGTTAGCAACGTTGCAGAACAGAACAAAAAAAATTATCTTTAAATATTTCCTTGAACATACAGATTTTTCTCCTTCAATTGTTGTTCATCCTGATGACTAGCATAATTTGCATTCAGGTTTTAGAAATGGATACATATAGATATCATGGGCATTCCATGTCTGATCCTGGAAGCACTTACCGTACCCGCGATGAGATCACTGGTGTGAGACAGGTTTGATGGTTCTGAGCCATTTTTTATACACATGGACTTCATGCCTATTCTTCAACAGCTTATTTTTTTTCATTTACAGGATCGCGATCCAATCGAAAGAGTCAGAAAGCTGATATTATCACTAGAGCTAGCCTCTCCTTCTGAGCTGAAGGTATTTGGTGGAATTAACTGAATGAACTTCATAGATTTAGGCAGACAACTTTTTTACTGTTTTAAAGCAATTTTTTAATTTTTGTACTGAAAAACTGATTTAAGAAATAGTAAAAAAACCATCCCAAACAAAGCTTTAGAAATGGGATGCAATCAGGTTGAGTCAAGCTTGAATCGATGCTAACTGGAGCTTGATTTGATGTGCTAAGTAGTGGCTGGAACTCAAATACAATAATCTCAACTTGATACCTTGAACTTGATTAATGCTTTGAATTGTTTAGGACATAGAGAAGGAAGTCAGAAAGGAAACGGATGAGGCCATTGCCAAAGCCAAGGTAAATTGTTGCATTGAAATTCAGTATCATATCAGTACTGTTTCATAATTTGAACTGAGATGCACTGATAGTTTTTCTTCTCTATTTAGGAGAGCCCCATGCCTGATCCTTCTGAGCTGTTCACGAACGTTTATGTTCAGAGCTATGGAGCAGAGGTAATTGAAATTTTCATACATGAAAGGAGAATTTTGTGCTTTTAATCACAGTTCCAGGTTTCAAATGATTTGACAAGATGACTATTTTTTGGCTGAAACTACTATTCTGTTGCAGGCATTTGGCCCTGACAGGAAGGAAGTGAAAGCAGATCTTCCATGAATTGAATCTGGGTTTTGTGGAGAGAAATAAAGACGGTATTGTTAGCTGCTTTTGTTCGTTGGGATCTTCTATAAAATGCCAAGAAACTGAGTGTTGCAGAATGTGAACTGAAAGAAATCAATTTTAAACAGTACTCTTGCAAACTCTGAAACAGCTTTCTTGTTGCTTTTTAAAATAGTTTTTTAGTACAAAAATTTCTTATTCAATTAATTTTGTACTAAAAAAATACTTTTTGAAACAGTAAGAAAGTTATCTCAAACAAAGCCTCAAAGTATCCGCTGACCAACAAGTGATACTTGTTTGAAGGATATTATACTTTTCAAAATTCAAATAAAATCTAGAGTTTTTTTTTTTTTTTTACTTTATATTATATTTCTCTCTCAAATTTTTATTTTATTTGTGGTTATTTTTGTTAGTAAGATTTAATATTACCCGGATTAATTTAAACTCAAAAGAAAAATATATATATACAAGTTTGTACAGCTATCTTCAAATAAGTTTTCTTCATCATGTAACGTACATTAGCCAAACTTTCTCCAAACCATTAAAGACATGTTAAGGACTGATGCTCACATACCACAGTAATGCTGTCTCATGTAAAGGCCTCTGCTACTGCCCTCTGAGGAGAAGGAAATCCTTTCAGTTTGATAAGGGTGTCATAGATGCTAGTATTGGAAACGAAGTGGCCCCGGGCCCACAGTTTTGTGGATATGAGCACAATAAGCATCACCAGAGGAAGCAGAAAGGAGATGTTTGGTTAGTTCGAGAAGGATAACGCATATGGATACGTCATTCTCATAGAATCACCATAGCAACGCAGGCAGACACAAGCAACCCGCAAGGAGGCATGATTGAGAGATTTTGAGCCCATAAGCATCTCCGATTAGGCGGGACCGTAAGTTGCACCGGTCCAAGATAGACTAAGCAATAAACAGACCAGCAGGAGCCAGCAACCATAGCATCGATTCCTAGAAAAAATACAGAAGCTAACAAAGAAACAAAGAATAAGAATACTTCGTTGCAAGACCTATACCCGTACCACGCTGTACAGATTTTTTTATTTGTGGGTCATCGATTGGGTGTTGAGTATGAAAAGGCTGAGGCTTAAGCATACACTCTCTAGTGATGTGCAGCATTGTAAACTTCTGTTGATGTTTCCATGTAGGTCTTCCTATTGAACAGGGCACAGCTTACAAGATATGCCGCAGGCAGTCTATGGTATACGTCTAGCCATTGTAGACAAAATGACAATGATTGGTAAAATGGAACACAGAAGCAGCAGAAAACCAGCTTAGTAGCAGGAGCCTTTCCTTGGAAAAAAAACGGTGAAGCGGACATCACTAATAAGGAAAAGATGTGTTCTTAAAAAAAATATTTTTGCAAGTAATCGAGAGGGATGAAAAGAGCAAATTCATACTCGTTATGTGATTAGTAAATTCGAAAGAACCCTGCGCAAAGAGAAATTGTAAAACTCCCTAGTATGCCCCGATGACTGCCGAGAAGCAATCACTGGGAGTATGCTCAGCTACATGATAAGGCAAACATTAGCTGCAGTTACATCAAATCAATTAATAAAGGCCTCCCTTTCCAATAAGCCATCACTTTCCACTTTTGCAGAAGTATAGGCCTATAAGTCCCGAGCACTAAACTTAGCGGACTACAGCTGCTTAGTAAAAATGCCCTCAGAAGAAGTGCGAAGATCATCCACCTATAAATATGAAAGAGAAGAATAAATACGAGCTATAGAATTCTGTATATAACCTAAGCTACTTCAATAGATGAAGGAATGTAAAAGTTAACAACTTAAAAACTATTGAAAAACCTGAAACAATAATATCCACTTTATAAAACGAAAGCTAGGTATATCAAATGCATTGCCAAGTATAAAATTTTGAAGCTGAAAAAGCATAAAAAGGTAAAAAAGAATGTTTTCAACAATAAAAGGAAAGCAAAAAGGCAATACACATATCAAACAACAACCAAACAACAACAACAACAAGCTTTTATCCCTATGTGGGGTCCGGTTATATGAATCTTTTTCTCTAATTGTATCCTAATTAAATAATAAATTTTCATCTAAATATTAATAAAGAAATGTCATTTATAATATTTTTCTAACCAAGTCTTTTTATGTCTAACCTCTATCTTTCTTAATTTAAGTTAAATCTAATACATTCTACTTTCCTGATACGGGTCATCGAAGGTTGTCATTTTTATGTGACCAAATCATCCAAGGCGAATCTCTCAAATCTTATCTTCCACTGGAGCTACCCAACCTTTTCACGTATACGCTCATTTTGATCATGTATCACGAGTAAAGCCACTCTCCACTGAGCATCCTCTCATCTTTGCACACAACTTAACTTAATATTATGCTTCTCTTATAATGGCCTACATGGTGCCACCATAAAGATATTGTAGGGTCTCACTACATCTTATAAAAATTTTCCCTTAAATTTGAAGAAATTTTCTATCAACAAAAAAGCTCGAGGTGCCATTTCCTCCTCAATCCAACCAAACTTGGTATCTAATAATTAAACCCCACTATTTCGCCGAGACTTCTGAACAATAAGAAGCCAAATTATCTAAAACGTGTACGACTTAATCCGCTCGCAAAGTACAATCTCCCTCCAGTAGATCTATTATTACTAAATACACTCCATATGTTCAATTTTTAAATATCTACTACCTCAAACAAAAGCCTTTTAGACTCAAATTTGACCTCCAAATTAAAGTTTACTTCACAACTCCGCTCTCTACTCTATCAACAGATCAGAGGTAATCATCAGCAAAGAGAATACACCAGAATACAGACCTCTTGCAAGTCTATTGAAATTCATGAGCTAAGAGCAAAAAGATAAATGGGCTTAAGAATGACCCTTGATGTAATGCCAATTGGAATTAGGAAAAATACTTGGTCAAACACTTTGTGTTTTGAACACAAGTTTAATATCGTCATTGCCATACACTATCACTTTAAGAGTTGAATATAAGCATTATTAACGCCTTTCTTTGTAGAACTCTGCTATAGCAGATTCTCTTGGAACTAATAATCCTCTATTTATCTAAACAATAAAAATTTATAGAAGCATCTCTTATTCTCTCCACACTCTTCCATCAAAGACCTCATAATAAATGTATATCTCTCATAATAAGACCTACCTAACCATAATCCAAATGGATTTGTGAGAAACATTAGTCTCACGCTGCAACCCTATGCCTCCCATAACTCTCCTCCGCATAGTTTTTATAAGTATAACACATTTAAACTTAATATCTCTATAATAACCATAATCTACTAAAGTCAATTGCCTCACAATCTTCATTGAAAAGTTAGCAAAATATCTCATTTATTATTTGATATGAAATATCCTCTTCTAATAAAAGTACTTTTTTGATCTTTCATCCTATATAACACTTCACTGAACAAAATCCTTAGTGACTATAGTTCTCTTTGTGTTAGTTAACTTATAGCATCATCATATATCTTTCACCCTCATAGAATCATAATCTATGTATAATAATTAAAAGTTAAAAATCTTTACATTGCATATTGGCCTTTTTTTAACTCATTATGATTCTTTATGTCTTCCCAATGTATCAAAATTTTTACACCTAAATCAATTTTATACAAACTACTTTATTTTTTTTTTTTTTTATCTTTCTTACTATATTGTGATTCCACAACCAATTATTTTTATTATTAGTAGTTTTTTTCACTTTGATATTCCAAGCACAATCTTTTGCAATATTCTTAATATCACTAAACTATTTTTTCTTCAATATATATTAGCTCCCTCAGGCAAGATAAAATCATTTAAATCTAGAATCTTACTCCACAAAATATTGTTATTAATACTCTTTAAATGACTCATCTATCCTAGAACAATCATTTATTTTATTTTTTTTTTCTACTACCATCCATCTTAAAATAAAAACTAAATAAGTGTTTTAGGTACATTAAGCTTTCAACTCAGAATACTTTACAATTTTTTAATAATTTAAACAATTTCTTTCGTATTATAGAAAAAATATCAATGTCTGAATGTTCTTATATCTAATTTTTATAAATGGATAAGATGCTTATCTTCTTTTCTTAAATAAATTATTAACAGTTTATAAAATCACAAGCCTAAAAAAAAAATCAAATATGATCTTACCACCTTTATTAGTCGCCTCTAAAAGTCATAGCTTACTTAAAAATGCTTCTTAAAGATCATTTCTTTCTCTATTAAATGTCGCATTTAAATCTCTCTTGCAATAAGAATCTTTCTTCAAGAGGGAATATTTGTATTAAATTCGTTCCTAAATTCAATTCAAAAATTTTATTTTAAACTACAACTCCATCCAAATATAACTTGAGAACATAAGCGATTATTAATATATAAAATCTTAAAGCATCAATACAATCTTTAACCGTATAATTTTATCACCAATTCTATTAATTTTTTACAATATTATACCTTTAACTCTTATCTATAATTTACACTACAACCATTAGTAGCAGACTTACCAAGAATACCATTGTTTAAATTCTAAACTTCAATCATCTGCTTACCTTCTCTCTAACCCCATTTTAATTTTTGAGAATGCATAAATATTTATCTTCACTATAAATCATAAATTTATAATTCCATTAATTTGCTTGTAAGAAAGCCAATATGTCAAGTCTTATCTCTATTTGTAGTTTCTGGACTAGCTAATTTCTTTGCCCACATCCTCCATAGGTTGAGGAAATCTTGCCTATTTAACTGCCCCCGGACGCTGAAGTGCAACTCCCTTGCACACTTGTCAATGTATTTAAGTCATAGAATTGCGTGCTTCAAAGGAGATGCCCTAGAAAGACAAACACCATCATATACTTTAAAATGTTACATGATCACAATTTTGGTTCCCCATTTTTGTGAGAGGTAGAGAAAGGCTAGACCAATATAAAGGAGAAATTATTAGGTTGTGGATGGAGCGTTGGAAATACGTGGTCAAATCAAAGCATTAAACACCCTTGTTTACAAATATCTGATTGGCTGATTAGCACCTAATAATTCTTTGATGTAAGACGCACTTATCATTGGTCTATTGGTTTGAAACTTGGCTACCAATGTAGAGGTCTTAGGTTTTGACTCTTGTGATGGTGTGTGAATTT